CTGTCATTTCGCCCTACATCATATCGTGTATACTTATTTATCCTCTTTTTCTTAAAATATGTATTACCTATAACTAAACCCCTTTCTATACAAAGTTCAATCAAAGGGCTCCCATTATCATTTACACCTGGCACCCCAAACTTACCTACCACACCCTCTCTAAAAGTTTCTCCTACTTTAGCATTCAGGTCCCCTACCACAATTACTCTCTCACTTGGTTCAAAGGCTCCTATACATTCACTTAAACATCTCCCAAAATCTCTCTCTCCTCCTCTGCATTCCTCTCTTCTCCAGGTGCATACACGCTTATTATGACCCACTTTTCGCATCCAACCTTTACTTTAATCCACATAATTCTTGAATTTACACATTCATATTCTCTTTTCTCCTTCCATAACTGATCATTTAACATTACTGCTACCCCTTCCTTTGCTCTAACTCTCTCAGATACTCCAGATTTAATCCCATTTATTTCCCCCACTGAAACTCTCCTACCCCCTTCAGCTTTGTTTCGCTTAGGGCCAGGACATCCAACTTCTTTTCATTCATAACATCAGCAATCATCTGTTTCTTGTCATCCGCACTACATCCACGCACATTTAAGCATCCCAGTTTTATAAAGTTTTTCTTCTTCTCTTTTTTAGTAAATGTATACAGGAGAAGGGGTTACTAGCCCATTGCTCCCGGCATTTTAGTCGCCTCATACGACACGCATGGCTTACGGAGGAAAGATTCTTTTCCACTTCCCCATGGACAATAGAAGAAATAAAAAAGAACAAGAGCTATTTAGAAAAAGGAGAAAAACCTAGATGTATGTATATATATATATACATGTGCGTGTCTGTGAAGTGTGACCAAAGTGTAAGTAGGAGTAGCAAGAGATCCCTGTTATCTAGCGTGTTTATGAGACAGAAAAAGAAACCAGCAATCCTACCATCATGCAAAACAGTTACAGGTTTTTGTTTCACAGTCATCTGGCAGGACGGTAGTACTTCCCTGGGTGGTTGCTGTCTACCAACCTACTACCTAGGTAAATATGCTGGGGGTAAATATGCTGACAAAAATGAGATCACCAGTACTTGAAGATGCTGAGAAGTTATTATTGGTGTGGGTAAATGAGAAACACTTAGCAGGAGATAGTTTTATGCAGTCGCTTATTTGTGAAAAGGCTAGGCAGTTGCATGACGATCTCGTAAAGAAATTGCCTACAACGAGTACTGATATTTGTAAATTTAAGGCCAGCAAAGGCTGGTTTGAGAGATTTAAGAACCGTAGTGGCATAAACAGTGTGATAAGGCATGGCGAGGCTGCCATTTCGGACAAAATTGCAGCTACAAAATTCGTAAGTGAATTCAAGGAGTACATAGAGGCTGAAGGACTGAAACCTGAACAAGTGTTCAATTGTGACAAAACAGGCCTCTTTTTGAAGAAAATACCAAAGAGGACCTACATTACTCAGGAGGAAAAGGGACTGCCAGGGCACAAGCCTATGAAAGACAGGCTGACACTCATGTTTTGTAGTAATGCTAGTGGGGATTTCAAAGTGAAGCTGACACTAGTGTAGCATTCTGAAAATCCCAGAGCATTCAAGAAAAACAATGTTATGTAGAGTAAATTGTGTGTGCATTGGAAAGCTAATACACCTACCATCCGACTTACGACCTGCTCGACTTATGACCACTCGACTTACGACCGTGTTTTTTATGCCAAATTTCTGGGAAATAAACAACTATTTGTGTTGTACACAGTGTTTATCCTAAACCTTACAGTATAAAATACAGTACTAACAGCATAAAAAGTAAAGTAAAACACGAAATACCAAAATAAAACAATAAAATAAAGTCATTACAAAAATGTTTTGTTGATATTTAGTAGCAAAGTTCGACTTACGACCATTTCGACTTACAACCGGTTTCTCGGAACCAAACTCGGTCATAAGTCGGATGGTAGGTGTAATAAGGCATGGGTCACGAGGGAAATTTTTGTCGAGTGGTTCAATGAAGTGTTTGGCCCCAGTGTGAAGAATTACCTCCTGGAAAAGAAATTGGATCTCAAGTGCCTCCTGCTAATGGACAATGCATCTGCTCATCCTCCAAACTTGGATGACCTAATTCTGCAGGAGTATGGGTTCATCAGGATAAAGTTCTTGCCCCCTAATACCACTCCTCTCCTCCAGCCCATTGACAAGCAGATTATTTCAAACTTTAAAAAACTCTACACCAAAGCAATGTTTCAAAGGTGCTTTAATGTGACCTCAGACACTCACTTGACCCTAAGAGAGTTTTGGAAAGATCACTTCAGTATCCTCCATTGCATAAGCCTTATAGGTAAGGCTTGGGAGGGTGTGACTACCAAGACTTTGAACTCTGCTTGGAGAAAATTGTGGCCAGATTGTGTCGACAAGAGGGATTTTGAAGGGTTTGGGGCTGACCCTGATGAGCCTATTGCAGTTGTGGAATCTATTATGGCATTGGGGAGCTCCATGGGGTTGGATGTGAGTTTGGAGGATGTGGAAGAGTTGGCTGAGGACCACAAAGAAGAGCTAACCACTGAGGAGCTGCAAGAGCTTCAGCTGGAACAGCAACAGACCGCAGCTCAGAATATTGCTGCAGAGGAGGAGGAAGAGAGATGGAAGAAGTTGCCTTCTTCAGAAATTAAGATTTTTGAAATGTGGGGCAGGATGGAAAGACTTATGGAGAAACATCACTCTGATAAGGCTGTTGCAAGCCATATCAGCAACTTGTACAGTGACAAAGTCTTGGCCCATTTTAGGGAAGTTTTAAAGAGACGCCAGAAACAGAGCTCTCTGGACACAGGGCTCCAGTGGCTCTCAAGCTGGTCCTATTGGCATTAAGAAACAGAGAAGAGAAGTAACCCCAGAAAAGGACTTGGTACCTGAGGTGTTGATGGAAGGGGATTCCCCTTCCAAACAGTAAATTAATCCAATCTCTCTCTCCTTCTCGAGTCTTCCATACACTAAGAAGAATCACCAATAAAGGTAAGTGTTATGCTGTTAATGTTTCATTCATCATGTCCCATTGTATTGTTTATGTACTACATCTATATTTCATGTAAAAAACAATTTTGTTTTAATACTTCTGGGTGTCTGGAACGGATTAATTGTATTTACATTACAGTGGTCCCCCGACCTACAATATTAATCCGTTCCTGAGAGCCCATCATAAGACAAAATGATCGTAGGTTGAATTAATTTTCCCCATAAGAAATAATGGAAATCAAATTAATCCGTGCAAGACACCTAAAAGTATGAAAAAATTTTTTACCACATGAAGTATACATTTTCCTACACACAAAAAGAAGGATACATGCACAATAGTAGAGTAGTACATGCACAATATATATTGTGCATGTACTACTCTACTAAATGAAGAATAAATGACACTTACCTTTATTGAAGATGTAGCAATGACTGATGAGACACTGTGTCCTGGGAGTGCCTTTTTCTCCTGAGTAATGTAGGTCCTGTTTGGCATTTTCTTCCAGAACAGGCCTTAAATTCACCAATATGAGTACTAGTTCCAGGCATTTTTTCCTGTTCACCTGGGTGTTAGTTGACTGGTGTGGGTTGCATCCTGGGAGGCAAGATTAAGGACCCCAATGGAAATAAGTCAGACAGTCCTCGATGACACACTGACTTTTTTGGGTTATCCTGGGTGGCTAACCCTCTGGGGTTAATTGTTTCTCGGCATTCTCGATAAGTCACACCAACAACAGTGCTACAGCAGCAGCAGCAGCTGACAGTGCTACAGCAGCGGCAGCAGCTGATGTTGCTACAGCAGCAGCAGCAGCTGACAGTGCTACAGCAGCAGCAGCAGCAGCAGCAGCTGATGGCGCTACAGCAGCAGCAGCAGCAGCAGCTGACCGTGGTACGATAGTATTTCAATAATATTTCTCACCCTTTTTTACCACAGGGTTGGCACTAGAAGCTTTCTTTAGGCTAATGGTGGCTTATTTAGTAGTTAGAAGCACTAAAAACACTGGAATAATACATTCCGAATGTATGCGTGGGAGTGACCGCTCTGGCTTGTAAACACTGGCACACTAACTGAAGGCAGGCCAGCTGAGGCGCGGTCAGGCGGACAGACATGTGGACACGTACTGGACGATTGCTGTAGGTCGAGTTTTTCAACGTACGTCGGGGTCAAATTTTTACGCTGAAAAGCATCGTAGGTCGGTTTTAACATAAGTTGGGGACATCATATGTCGGGGCTCCACTGTATTTCTTATGGGGAAAATAGATTCGAAAATCGTCAATTTCGAACTGATTAATTACGAAAAATGAGGGCCCACTGTACAGGAGAAGGTGTGGAGTTAATAAAAGTATTAGTCAGAGGGCTGAAGAGGGGTTGTTGAGGTGGTTTGGTCATTTAGAGAGACTGGATCAAAGTAGAATGACATGGAGAGTGTATAAATCTGTAGGGGAAGGAAGGTGGGGTAGGGGTCGTCCTCGAAAAGGTTGGAGGGAGGGGGTAGAAAAGGTTTTGTGGGCAAGGGGCTTGGACTTTCAGCAAGTGTGCATGAGCATGTTAGATAGGAGTTAGAATGGAGATGAATGGTTTTTGGGACCTGAAGAGCTGTTGGAGTGTGAGCAGGGTAATATTTAGTGAAGGGATTCAGGAAAACCTGTTATTTTTATATAGCTGGACTTGAGTACTGGAAATGGGAAGTACAATGCCTGCACTTTAGGGGAGTGGTTTGGGATATTGGCAGTTTGGAGAGATATGTCATATGTTTTTATATATGCTTCTAAACTGTTGTATCGGGGTGCCTCTACAAAAACAGTGATTATGTATGAGTGATATGAAAGTGTTGAATGATGATTAAAGTATTTTCTTTTTGGGGATTTTGTTTCTTTTTGGATCACCCTGCCTCGGTGGGAGACGACTGACTTGTTGGGAAAAAAAAAAATACAGTAAGTTAGTGCAACCTCTAACACTGATCAAGGAAAGAGATACAAATAATGAAGCAACAGTACTAACTTGCACGTAACAGTAGGGTGATGATAGGGACAAGAATCTCCAGCCTTGCACAATGGCCAGAATTTGCACCGCTCTTTGTTGCCACCTATAAAGAAAACATAATCTGTTTCATATGTATGATTATCAATTACAGCGTATTAGTACAGTAATAAGATTGTTAATGTGTAAAATGAGATAGAGAAGAAAAACAGTAACAAGAAAAGTACATATAATCTATAATCATTATACAGTAAGTCTACAGCATTTAAGTTTATCTACAAGACAAATCATTTACATGGAACCATAGGAAATAATAAAAATTGCAAGGAATGATTTCTCAATCGGGACTTCCTCACAAAGTCTGCATCTTTCTACCTAGCAGTATGTGACCTACACATCAAAAAGACTTGAACCTTTTTTTTCTTAAACTAGTTCATTATCTTTACTTAAGCTTCATAAACCTCATTTTCTAAAATGAAGAAAATGTTGATTATTCAATGTGGTTCCATATAAACAGCACACCCTAAAATGGTTAAGCCATTATGAAAACAGTAAGGGATGTAAGTAACAGAAGGTAACTAAAATGTCAAAAAGCAAGGGGTTAGTAACCCTCTCCTCTATCTTTTACTAAAGAGACAAAGGGAAATTCCGAAGTTGAATGAAGTAAAATCAACATTTGACAACAAAAAATTACAAATATATTTGAAGGCAAAAGAAATAAGATATACCTCCATGTGGAGCATCCAAAACAGAAACTGTACTCTTGAGATGAGACTTAGCACCTGCAATATGTCCAACTGCTGGTAATGTTTCAGCAAGTGTTTCTTCTTCTTCCTCTTCTTCTTCCAACTCCTCCACCTCTTCAATATATTCCTAATTAAAAAAATTACTTCATATAACTATTTATCATGAAATCACAAAATTTAAAAAAAAAAAAAAAAAAATTCTTTTTGGGTTATCCTGCCTCGGTGGGATGTGGTTGTATTGTTGAAAAAAAAAATCATCACTAACCATAGAATGCTGTACCTTAACACTATTACTCAACACTTGTATAGTTCTGTACAGTAGAGCCATGAGAATTTGAATAAATAGAGATCAGTGAGTTTCTAGATGTGCAATTTACAGATAGGTGAACTTTCCTAATGTATGCCTCACTAATTATTATTCAGAGTATTTACTTCCAATACTAAAGAATAACCTGTTTTGACATTAAGGAAAAATATGGCAACAGTTTATTAAACATCTTATTACTGATTCACTGCCAGTAATTTGAATCATGAGCAAATTTATATATCCTTGTATAAATTACAAGGATACAAATAATGAATACATACCTCTACAACCTCTAAATTATCACTGTGAATAGGTCGAGTTCCCAATCGAGACCTAATGTCTAGATGCTCATCCTTTACGGAAAAGACCCCAGTGTCTACACCTTCCAGAGTGACAATGAACTTAGTGTTCTCTACCCTGTAAAAATAAGAATAATGTACAGTATTAATACAATCATTCATTAACCCATATACATTATTCAAAGAAGGCTTAAAGATAAAGCATTTCACAGCACTGTACACTATAGCATTGTACAGTGGAACCTCGGTTTTCATCATTAATTCATTCCAGAAAGTATGACGAAAACCAAATTCGATGAAAACTGAAGCAATATTTCCCATAAGATATAATGTAAATCCAATTAATCTGTTCCAGACACCCAAAAGTATTAACAAAAATTACATTTTATACAGAATAACTAGAGTTTTACATACAGGAAACAATGTGAAATAAATATAAAGGACTAATGAAATGGATAAATGAACATTTAACATGACTTTTACCTTATTGAAGACTCTTGTTGGCACATGGAAGATGGCAAGGAGGGGAGAGGTTATTGTTTGGAAGGGGAATCCCTTTCCATAAGGACTTCACATATCAAGTCCCTATCTGGGGTTACTTCCCTTCTTTGTCTTTTACTGGCACTAGCACCAGCTTGAGAGTCACTGTACCCCTGTCTCACAAAAAATTTGTCCAGAAAGGTCTGTTTTTGGCATCTCTTTAAGATTTACCTAAAATGGGACAAGGCATTGTCATTGAACATGCTGCAGACACAGCTTCCAACAGCTTTATAAGGGCAATATTTCACCACAAAACTTTGCAACTTTACTTTGCACACAAGTCCTTAACCCTTAAACTGTCCAAACGTAGATATACATTTCCTCGCGTAGCACTCTGAACGTAGATCGTTTTATTTTTCATTCTTTCAAATTTGGCAAAATAGGCTTGAGTCGCCTAGACATGAAAGAATGGGTCTGTGCACTCAGTGTGCGCAGTATTAAAAAAATCTGGGAGCACTTAGTACCTTGTGGGAACACCAGTTCAATTGAGCGCCAGCTAGAGCAAATGACCTAGCAAACACAAGGGTTTCACTGATGCCACGTCGCATTAACACTCCCATTTTAAGAGGAAAGTAAAAATAGGTTAGATAAATACAGGAGTGAGTGTGGGTGGGTTTGAGTTGGACCTGACTAGCTTGTGCTACTAGGTCTGATGTCATGCTCCTTCCTTCAATGGATATGACCTGACTAGGTGGGTCATTGGTCTAAGCCATAGGGGGGGTGGAGGGTGACATGGACCTGCCTTGCATGGGCCAGTAGGCCTGCTGCAGTGTTCCTTCTTTCTTATGTTCTTATGTATTCGGCAGGCTAGCTGGCTGACTGACTTGCTTAGGCTGTCTCTCTGTCTATATCTCTATCTGTCTATATCTTTGTCTATCTATATCTCTGTCTCACATGTACACATAAGTACAGTTATTAGTGTAAATTACCTAGGATAGCCCAAAAATTCCAGGCAAAGATAGACAGACAGATAGATAGACAAACAGACAGACAGACAGACAGATAGATAGATAGATAGATAGACAGACAAACATGTTGGTGTGTATCGGTGAAAACAAATAAAGCCAGGGTTCCCCTTAGCGCACATTTATCAAATGTCACTAGGCTGTCAACAAATGTCATAACACCCTTCTTCAAGGCATTTGATATACGTATACTCCAGTTAAGAAAGCCTAGAGAACAAATGGATTTGTCAGTTAAAAATAGGAGAGAAGAGTTATTAAATGGAGAGTTAGAGGTATTGGGAAGATGGAGGGAATATTTTGAGGAATTGTTAAATGTTGATGAAGATAGGGAAGCTGTGATTTCGTGTATAGGACAAGGAGGAATAACGTCTTGTAGGAGTGAGGAAGAGCCAGTTGTGAGTGTGGGGGAAGTCCGTGAGGCAGTAGGTAAAATGAAAGGGGGTAAGGCAGCCGGGATTGATGGGATAAAGATAGAAATGTTAAAAGCAGGTGGGGATATAGTTTTGGAGTGGTTGGTGCAATTATTTAATAAATGTATGGAAGAGGGTAAGGTACCTAGGGATTGGCAGAGAGCATGCATAGTTCCTTTGTATAAAGGCAAAGGGGATAAAAGAGAGTGCAAAAATTATAGGGGGATAAGTCTGCTGAGTATACCTGGTAAAGTGTATGGTAGAGTTATTATTGAACGAATTAAGAGTAAGACGGAGAATAGGATAGCAGATGAACAAGGAGGCTTTAGAAAGGTAGGGGGTGTGTGGACCAGGTGTTTACAGTGAAACATATAAGTGAACAGTATTTAGATAAGGCTAAAGAGGTCTTTGTGGCATTTATGGATTTGGAAAAGGCATATGACAGGGTGGATAGGGGGGCAATGTGGCAGATGTTGCAAGTGTATGGTGTAGGAGGTAGGTTACTGAAAGCAGTGAGAGTTTTTACGAGGATAGTGAGGCTCAAGTTAGAGTATGTAGGAAAGAGGGAAATTATTTCCCAGTAAAAGTAGGCCATAGACAAGGATGTGTGATGTCACCGTGGTTGTTTAATATATTTATAGATGGGTTGTAAGAGAAGTAAATGCGAGGGTCTTGGCAAGAGGCGTGGAGTTAAAAGATAAAGAATCACACACAAAGTGGGAGTTGTCACAGCTGCTCTTTGCTGATGACACTGTGCTCTTGGGAGATTCTGAAGAGAAGTTGCAGAGATTGGTGGATGAATTTGGTAGGGTGTGCAAAAGAAGAAAATTAAAGGTGAATACAGGAAAGAGTAAGGTTATGAGGATAACAAAAAGATTAGGTGATGAAAGATTGAATATCAGATTGGAGGGAGAGAGTATGGAGGAGGTGAATGTATTCAGATATTTGGGAGTGGACGTGTCAGCGGATGGGTCTATGAAAGATGAGGTGAATCATAGAATTGATGAGGGGAAAAGAGTGAGTGGTGCACTTCGGAGTCTGTGGAGACAAGGAACTTTGTCCTTGGAGCAAAGAGGGGAATGTATGAGAGTATAGTTTTACCAACGCTCTTATATGGGTGTGAAGCATGGGTGATGAATGTTGCAGCGAGGAGAAGGCTGGAGGCAGTGGAGATGTCATGTCTGAGAGCAATGTGTGGTGTGAATATAATGCAGAGAATTCGTAGTTTGGAAGTTAGGAGGAGGTGCGGGATTACCAAAACTGTTGTCCAAGGGCTGAGGAAGGGTTGTTGAGGTGGTTCGGACATGTAGAGAGAATGGAGCGAAACAGAATGACTTCAAGAGTGTATCAGTCTGTAGTGGAAGGAAGGCGGGGTAGGGGTCGGCCTAGGAAAGGTTGGAGGGAGGGGGTAAAGGAGGTTTTGTGTGCGAGGGGCTTGGACTTCCAGCAGGCATGCGTGAGCGTGTTTGATAGGAGTGAATGGAGACAAATGGTTTTTAATACTTGACGTGCTGTTGGAGTGTGAGCAAAGTAACATTTATGAAGGGGTTCAGGGAAACCGGCAGGCCGGACTTGAGTCCTGGAGATGGGAAGTACAGTGCCTGCACTCTGAAGGAGGGGTGTTAATGTTGCAGTTTAAAAACTGTAGTGTAAAGCACCCTTCTGGCAAGACAGTGATGGAGTGAATGATGGTGAAAGTTTTTCTTTTTCGGGCCACCCTGCCTTGGTGGGAATCGGCCAGTGTGATGATAAAAAAAAAAATAAATAAAAATACTCCAGGCAGACAGAAAGACAGATAAGCAGTGTGAGTTGGACCTGACTAGCTTGTGCTACTAGGTCTGATGTCGTGCTCCTTCCTTCAGTGGATGTGACCTGACTAGGTGAGTCATTGGTCTAAACCAGGGGGAATGGGGAGGGAGGACATAGACCTGCCTTGCATGGGCCAGTAGGCCTGCTGCAGTGTTCCTTCTTTCTTATGTTCATATGTATTCAGCAGGCTGGCCAGCTGGCTGGCTTTGACTGGCTTTGGCTGGCCTTGGCTGTCTCTCTGTCTATATCTCTGTCTGTCTCTCTCTCACGTGTACACGGAAGCACAGTTATTATACAGTGTGTAAATTTCCTAGGATAACCCAGAAATTCCAGGCAAAGATAAATAAGACAGATAGATAGATAGATAGACAGATGGACAAACATGTTTGTGGGTATCAGTGAAAACAAATAAAGCCAGGGTTCCCCAAGTGCCCATCTATCAAATGTCACTGGGCTGTCAACAGATGTCATAACACCCTTCTTCAAGGAGTTTGATATACATATACTCCAGGCAGACAGAAAGACAGATAAGCAGAGACAGACAGACAGGCAGATAGACAGATACACAGATAGATAGACAGAGAGACAAGACATGTTTGTGTGTAACATTGATAACAAATAGTACAGTGAGGGTTAGCTGGAGCACTGGGCATTTATAAAATGTCACTGGGCTGTCAACAGTATAGGGATGCCCTTCATAACACCATGCTTCAAGGTATATGCCAGGGTATCTAAAACATTGCTGGGACCTATAAATACTTTGTATATATTTCTAGACAATAGTAAATAACCCAGGTAGGTGTAAATGTTCACCTGTCAATGTGATTATGACTATTTGAGTACAATTTCGGTATCTAACATTAGTGTCAGAACAAAGATTGGCTATGAAATCACAAGAACTATTATAAATTGTAATTATCAGAACATAAAAAATATATAAATTAAAATAAAAACGAGAAAAAAGTATATTGGCAACACTTCTGCAAGAGGCAGAAGTCGATGATGCCATCAGGTGAGCATCCAGAGCCAACTTCACGGTCTTATATCATGGTAAGTACTGACCCTAAAATTTTTTTTTTCATCCTAAAACATGTAGAAAAATGTGCTCTTCATTAAAAAAAAAATATTTTTCAAAATATTCGGAGCACCACACAAGTGAACGAAGATCTACATTTGGACCGTTTAAGGGTTAATCACTGAAGAAGGCGCGTTCTCCCCTCTCTCTTCCTCCTCCTCCTCAATGATGAGGTTTTCCCTTACATCCTGGCAAGATTGACCACATGTAGGTCACTTTTGTACAGTGGTCCCTCGATAATCGTCGGGCTCGATAGTTGTCCTTTTCGGAAATTGTCGCGTTATTTTCGTCCAAACATTGGCTCGCAAATGGTCGGTTG